GGCTGAAGCATTTTTGGAAGCACACTGTGACTGTCCTATAGCCATTCTCAAACTGCTGCTGGTGGGCAGTGATCAGGAGGCTGGATGGAGTTGATTTCATCCTGCTAGCCTGTTGTGGCAGGAGCACAAAGGAGGGTGATTTGGGACAGAGCCTGGGCACATCCAGCTCTTGGCTGGGGGCTTTCATGGGAGGGAGGGACTCTATGGGCCATGGTAGCCATGCGGAGCGAGCTGCTCAGGACCCTGCTCTGGTGGGTGTGAGCACATTTGGGGAGACATTCAATGTGCTTGATGGTTTAACGTGCCTTAATTCTCAGATGAGGTCTGAAGAGACAGCAGACCTGCTGGCTGAGAAGGCTCAGATCACGGAGGAGGAGGCCAAGCTGCTGGCTCAGAAAGCAGCTGAGGCTGAACAGGAGATGCAGCGAATCAAAGCCACGGCCATCCGGACGGAGGAGGAGAAGCGACTGATGGAACAGAAGGTGCTAGAGGCAGAGATGTTGGCACTGAAAATGGCGGAGGAGTCGGAGAGGAGGTCAGAGGGTACAACCTTGCAGCTGCCTCTGCTTTTGCTTTCCAACCCCCTTCTGGCTTAGCTGAGAGTGGCTCATGAGTTAGTCCATCCAACGGTTTGCAGTGAGCCCTTGGCCTCCTCTGCATGTACAACAGCAAATGGCCCCAAGGCTCAGCTGGCTTCTCTCTCCATCTTGCTGTTTGCCACAGCTGGGCTGTCCCCAGGTAGGAAATGGTGCTGGTAGAGCAGTGGTAGAGCCTTGGATCAGAGCTGGAGACCCTTCTCTGAAGCCTTCTTTGGGAGAGAGACTGTGGTGAAAGCAGGAGAGAAGGGGGCTGTCAGGTAGCCAGGGAGAAGGTACCGTGGTCCTTGGCACTTTGCTTTCTTTGCCTCTCCTCTGACAGCAGCAGTGGGAACCAGCTCTACTTTTGGGTGATTCCTGCAAACACCCACCGCATTCCCCGAAGTATTTTACTGTATTACTGACACTTGGGGGTTTTCTTTTGTGGATGTTACATCTGTGTTTGCTCTTCTCTCTTTGTTCCTCTGGTTTCCTCTCACTTGTTTAGTTCTCCTTACCAGTCGTGAGGTCTCTGTTTCAGGTTAGCCTTGAGGTCTCCCTAGCTGCTGGAGTCCTTGCTTCTTGTTAAAACTGCTGATTCCATCCTCTTGATACCAGAGCCCAGGTCCCACGGTGCATTTGGTAGTGAGCAAGTAAAAAATCATTCTTACTTCCTTCCAACTGATTACTCTTTTTTGCATGAGAGCTTACTCAGTGTCAGCCCTTCTGCTTGGGTGAATGCTGCCCTTGTCCATCTCTTCTTGCCTTGGTCCCTATCTTGTGAAGTTTCCACTCAAATTTCAGTCCAGCATAGAAAGGTTCCTTCCCTCCTTTGGCTTTCTCCTTGCAGGGGGTCCTTGAGCCTCAAGGGTAAATACTAGTTTTAGAGTTGTGCCCTGTGAGTAGGCAAGCTGTGCAATCTTGGATGCTTTTTCCTTTTTGAATATAGTAAGTAGTCACAGAATCCCAGAATGGCCTGGATTGAAAAAGCCCTTTAAGCTCATTGAGTCCAACCATGAACCCAACACTGACCAGTCCCCTATGACTAACCCATGTCCCTCAGCACTGTGTCTACACGACTCTTCAATCCCTCCAGGGATGGGGACTCCACCACTGCCCTGGGCAACCCCTTCCAATGCCTCAGAACCCTTGCAGCAAAGAAATTCTTCCTCACATCCAATCTCAACTGCCCTGGGCACAATCATTAGTAGAGGCTTCCTAATCAAGGGACAAACTCTGCACCTACACTGTAATCCTGCTTCTCCATCTTCTCCTTCCTCTCAGCTTCAATCTTATATTTGCCATTTGCTGTTTTTCTTCATAGGGCGAAGGAGGCTGATCAGCTAAAGCAAGACCTTCAGGAGGCTCGAGAGTCTGAGCGGAGAGCAAAGCAGAAGCTTTTGGAGATCACCAGCAAGTCGTCCTATACAGTAAGAGCAATTTGTGTTGTAACCCCCAGTTCTCAGCCCATAAACATGCCCTCCTCTGTAGCCTGGAGGAGTCTTGGATCTCCATCCCATCGATGGAGGGGTTTGAGCTGCCTCATTGCATTTCTTAGCAGCTGTTCAGAAACCCTCAGCAGCGCTTGTACTTTTCATCCCGGCACCTCATCCAGCAGAAGATCACTTTGCTCTTTTTGTTTCTTTCCCCCATCTACCCTGCCTGACGGTACCAAAGTGAGGGAGCTGCTGGTGAAATTAAAGGTGGCAAACTTTAAACCAGTATAAGAAACACGTGAGAGCCACACTGTGCTGGCATGCGTGGAGTGAACCAGCTCAGTCATAGCTTTTAAAATAGGGTTAAATAGCTTCAAAACAGAGGATGTCCAGAGGATGTTCTTATTCTTCTTAAGTAGGATAAACATTGTTGAGGACCTGTAAATTCATTCTTTGGGCACAAACTGGTCACTGTGCATCTATGTGCTGGAATAAAACTTCCTTGAAGGGAGATTATTCCATAATTACCCATTAAGAGGATTTCACACCTTCCTTTGAAGCATCTGGTCCCAGTTGCTGCCGGGGACTGAAACACCAGACTAAATGACCATTGCTCTGATCCGTCTGGCGGTTCCTTTCCTCAACTTCTCTAATTGTGCCACAGGGCCTGTAAAACCCATCAAGCTCTCCCCTCCCCACAGCTCACACCTGCCACGGCTGCTGCTTTGGCTGCCTCGCTGTCCTGAGGGGTGAAGGGGAAGGAGCTTGACAGCTTCAGGGATTGACTCGACAGATGTACGTGGCAGTTATCAACCCGTCTAGTGCTGAAGTTTTAATTTGTACCTGCAGGCTCCTTTCCCTCTGCTCTGGAAACTTTGGAGGAGCAGATTGGAGAGGGCTTGAGAAGAAGTAGCTTTTCATCCCAGTTCTCTAAAGTTCCTTGTAAAAATATTCAAAAGCTTTTCAAAATGGCAGTGATGGAAAATCATAGAATCATAGAATGGTTTGGGTTGGAAGGGACCTCAAAGCTCACCCAGTTCCAACCCCCCTGCCAGCAGCAGGGACACCTTCCACTAGACCAGGTTGCTCAAAGCCTCATCCAACCTGGCCCTGAACACTTCCAGGGAGGAGCAGCCACAACTTCCTTGGGCAACCTGTTCCAGTGTCTGACCACCCTCACAGTGAAGAACTTCTTCCTAATATCTCATCTAAACTCCCCCTCTTTCAGCTTAAACCCATTTCCCCTTGTTTTGTCATTAACTGCCCTTATGAAAAGTCCCTCCCCAGCTTTCTTGTAGCCCCTTCAGGTACTGGGAGGCTGCTAGAAGATCTCCCCGGGGGAAAAAAAAAATATAGTCAGGTGCTCTTAGCCATGGGACAGTCAGCCAAGTGCTGGCTACCTCGGTGCTTTATAAAGCTGAGCTTTGCAATGCTCTTATTTTACCATCACTAGGTTTCTGGGATCCACCAGTTCTTTCATTCTGGGTTTAGCTTGTGCACAAAGTAGAGTGTCCTCATAGAAACTCGGTTACATGGCTGCACCAGTGCTGATGTTTGGGCAGCACTTACACGTCTGTGTTTCCTTGTGTTGCTGTGTCCATCCTTAGTCAGACGGGCAGAACCCCAGCTAGTGTGGGATAAATCCCCAGTCCCTGTGCCTGCTGAGCAGCGTGTGGCTGTGTTCC